AAATGGATGCTGATGGTTCAAAATTCAGCTAAGAGCTTAAAAATGAGTTGGAAAGGAACAATATGGACAGAAGTACTCAGCGTAATATCAAGAACTTGGAAAATTTCACAATTAATTTTTAATTCTGTGCCAGTTCGCGAAAAGCACTAGAATTCTAAAAATGTATATTTTACCCCATTTTTTAGTTTGCCGACATTTGTAAAGTTAGGTATACAGATCATTTGCAAACTATGTGACATACGGCTTTTAAAAAATTCTAGAATATATATTTTAGAATCTGAAAGAAAGAAAACAACTGTAGCAGGAGGCACAAGGTTCAAAAAGAAGCATGAGAAAATCCAACAAATTGGCCACAATCTCTTTCAAAAGCTAAAAGCTAGAACAATTTTTAATAGAAATAATGATTAGCCTACCGATACATTCGTTTGCCTCGTTGGCAGTACCAGGTCGCCATGGTCGATCATTGTAGAACGGTAAACATTGATCACAGTCAGCTCCTTCAACATCCACCCATTAGAAAAAAAAAGAAGAAAATGCAAGTTTTTAACAAAAAACCAGCAATCAGTACACTCTGACCTTGAGTATTGTGTTCACATCGACAGACTAGCCTGTTCTCACCATCCACGCTCGACGATCGAACACATTCCGAAGCGTGTCCATTACATTTACATCTGTAAATGTAGCATTATGAAGCTGGGCTTTGCTTAGTTTCAGCTAACCTTCCACCGACAGCAAAATCAGAAATAGCATAGAAATAACTCCGTAGTACTTGTGGATCACCAAATACTTCATCTCCGAACGTGTTCATTCGATTCAGGACAATTTTGATGGCCGAAGCAGTTACCCATTGCTAAAATTGAATAATTACGTGTAATCAAGAACAAGATCAAAGCTAAACAGTATGGTGCGCCAGGAGTCTAGCACTACCGCGACAAAACTGTTTACTCCGCCCCTAGCCCCGCCCCTTTGAAGGCAGCGGCTCGAAAGAATGACACCTTTGGGATATTCATCGTTCGCGGTTTTCCTGGATGCGCTAAGTCCAAGACTATGCTTTGCAGCTTCAAAAAATATCAA